AAAAAAAAAGAAAATGGTCTGGGAGTATAGTTCAGTGGTAGCATACTTGCCTAGTATGCATGAGGATCTGGGTTCAATCTCACTATCACAAAAAAACAAAAAACAAAAATACCTTCCCAAAAGGACTTCATTTTAATTTTTGGTTGTTTTGAAATAGCTCTTGCTATGTAGTCTAGATTTGCCTTGAACTCACTATGGAGCCCAGACTGGCCTTAAACTAGTGTTTTTTTGTTCTTGTTTTTATCTTTTTGAGACAGGGTCTCACTGTGCAGTTCAGACTGGCCTTAAGCTCATTTTTGTAGCCCAGGCTGGTCTCGAACTCACAATGATCCTCATGCCTCAGCCTCCCAAGCACTAGGACTACAGGTGTGTGCCACCATGCCTAGTTAGGAATCATTCTATATGAAAGAAGACTGAGATGTTGAAAATGTCCTGTTTATCCTTCTCCTTTCATCCAGGTTGTAGCGAAGGAAGCCTGGGAAAACCATAGATTGCGAAATGATTCTGTGATTGTGGACACGTTCCATGGCCTCTTCAAATCAACATTGGTTTGTCCAGAATGTGCTAAGGTTTCTGTCACCTTTGACCCATTTTGCTACCTAACTCTTCCACTTCCTTTGAAGAAAGATCGAGTTATGGAAGTCTTCCTGGTTCCTGCTGACCCTCACTGCAGACCTACCCAGGTAATAAGAGTCATACTTTCATGGTTCCCGTCAATGTGAGTGTTCCTGTTATAGTGGGTCAAGGACATTCCATCAGTTGCTTCTGTCCCTTTAGTCTTGTCTGTGTGTGGCTTTGGGCTCCATCAGACCTTTGTATAATAACATTCTTTGTATAATAAGCCCCTTTGTCCCTTTTTACCCATGTTTTGTTTGTGCAATTATAGTAACGTGGGTGATTTGTTAAGTAGTCCATGAATCTGAACTTTGTAGAACTCAGAGCTAGGTTCTTAGGTTCAAACCTTAAATCAGCTAGGAGCAGGGCCACAAGAACCAGGTAAGAGGCATGAGTAGTCATGCATCTTATTGTCCAGTTTTGCTGACAGCTCACAGTGTGACTTATCACTTAATCTGCTGACATTAGTGTCTTTGTCAAGAAAGAAAGATGATAGTGTAGGACCAGATGGCTATTTTATTTTTTTTAGTACTGAAGATTGAGCACAGGACCTCTGTCCCTAGGCCTTTTAAATTTTTTACTTCGAAACAGGCTCCTGGTAGGTTGTATAGGGTTGGCTTATACCTGTAATGCTCCCATTTCAGCCCCCTCAAGAGTGCTGGGTTTATAAACATGTGCCACCATGCCAGCTGGCAATTTGTACCATTTTAATGGTTCTTTTTTTTTTTTTTTTAAACCCTACCACAGCTCATTTATTTATTTTTGTGGAACCAGGGATTGAACTCAGGCCCTTGTGCTTGCCAGGCAAGCACTTATTCTACTGAGCTATTTCCCCGGCTCCTTAACGGTTCTTTATTTGATTTTTTTTTTTTTTCTTAATGGTTCTTTAGAGGAAGTAATAAACTATTCCAAACAATGAAGAAAAGAATCACGTGGGCTGATGGCATAGCTTAGTGGCAGAGTGCCTACCATGGTTGAGGCCCTGGGTTTGGTCCTCTGGGGGGTTTGGTCCTCTGGGGTGCCAATGTAAAAAAGAAAGCAGCGTTTGAGAAGAAGAGAGATGACCTAGGTCCCACCCTACTGCCTGAGTGTTGATATCAATGATTTAACCTGTCTGTGCTCTTACTAGCTCCTCTGGGCTCCAATTACTCTGAACTGTCTCAGAAGGACCCCCTGCCCCAGTAGTATCTGCTCCTTTAGTCACTTCCTTCCTGTTTGAGCACCCATCACTTTGATTGTCTCTCCCTTGCAGTATCGTGTGACAGTGCCACTGATGGGGGCCATGTCTGACCTGTGTGAGGCTCTCTCCAGGCTGTCTGGCATTGCGGCAGAAAATGTAAGGCAGAGGGATCAGCGGCATTTACATTGTTGGGGTCTTTTTGTAGTCTTTAGGGGTTTACTATCAGTCTTTTTTTTTTGTGTGTGTGTGTGGTACTAGGGATTGAACTCAGGACCCTGCGCTTACCAGGCAAGCACTTATTCTGTTGAGCTATCTCCCCAGCCTACTTTTTTTTTTTTTTTTTTTTTTTTTTTTGGTGGAACCGGGGGTTGAACTCAGATCCTTGTGCTTGCCAGAGAAGCACTTATTCCACTGAGCCATCTCCCCGGCCCCTCCAGCCTACTTTCAATCTTTTTTTTTTTTTTGCGGAACCAGGGATTGAACTCAGACCCTTGTGCTTGCCAGGGAAGCCTTTATTCTACTGAGCCATCTCCCCAGCCCCCCTACTTTCAATCTTGTAGCCACTTTTTTGAGAGTAGTATTGGCAAGCACAGATGTGATTATTGGTGAATGTTTGGGTGTCCCATGCCTGGCCCTCTCCGTCACTGTGTAACCTATATCTGAGGCTGTCCCTTCTAGCTTCTGGAAAAGCCATCTTTCTCTGATTATGGTCACACTACCCAAGTCAGAGGACCAAGAGTAGCACTCTGTTCTCAGCACTGTGTTTTGAGGGTGACCGGCAGGCTCTGAACACTGTGCAGTTCTCCAAGGCGTCTGGATGATAACTGGTCTCTGGTCACCACTCACCTGTCATCCTTCCTACTACTCAGAGGCAGAGGTTACCAGTGTGATCAATGCTGGCAGTAGTCCTGCCATCCCCTCACCCTTTGCTCTGAGCCCTGAAGCTGGCTGCAGAGGAGACTCTTGAGGCAGCATACAATAGGGCATTTTCCCATTTGTTTCTGAGCTGTAGCAGCTAAAAGGGTGCTCTGAGCCATCCTCTAATTTTTTATTTATTTATTTATTTATTTATTTGTTTGTTTATTTAGTGTGTGTGTGGCCAGCTCAGCCCACCAGGGGGCAGGCCTGGCTAGCATGTGGTGCTGGGGATTGAATCGCGGTCCCTGTGTTTTGCTTAGCTTAGCTTGTTCTAAGTAGGTGCTTTAGACCACTGAGCCATCTCACCAGCCCCGATCCTCTAATCTTTGTTGCTGTTGATTCCCAGATGGTGGTCACAGATGTATATAATCACCGGTTCCACAAAATTTTCCAAATGGATGAAGGTTTAAGCCACATCATGCCACGGGATGATATTTTTGTGTGAGTACTCAGCAGTTTCCAGTGCTGGGTCAGGGAACACTGATCATTCACTCCTGCAGCCTGGCTCATGTGGGTCCCACTGAGTGGAGAGAAAACTGTCTTGGATGGCATATAGAATAGATAATAAAGCCAATACATGTAAGTAACAAAACTTCTCTTGATTTTAGTCTTTATTATAACATTTAAAAGAGAAGATAGTATTGGTGGTACATTCCTGTAGTCCTCAGCAGTAGGCTGAGGCAGTAGAATCACCATGAGTTCAACAAGGCTACCTGGACTATGTATGGAGACCTTATCTCAGCACACAAAAAAAGAACAAATCAACAAAACAAAAGGCCAAGAGTTAAAAAAAAAAAAAAAAAAAAAGGCCAAGGATAGGGCACCCTTTTTTTTTTTTTTTTTTGGCACACCTCTTCCAGAGCTATGTATGCCTTATTTGTATCTCTAGAACAGAAGCTGTTTCCTCATTGCTAAAACAAAATACCCAACATCCACAATTTAAGGGAGGAAAGGTTTATTTTGGCTCATAGTATGGGGGAAGGGATTTAAAGGGAAAAAGTGGAAATTGAGCTTTTGTAAATAGGGGAAGAAAAGTTGTGGAGGGAGGGAAGGAGACCAAAAGTAGAATTTTTTTAAAAGTTGGAGCTTTAAAGCTAGGTGGGTTAGTGCACACCTGTAATCCTAGCACTCAGAAGGCTGAGGCAGGAGGACCACCAGGAGTTTGAGGCCAGCATGCAGTGAATAGTGACTTCCTGACCAACCTGAACGGCCTACTGAGATCCTGTCTAAAAAGCCTAAGGGCTGGCCAGATAGCTTAGCGGATTAAAGCACCTGCTTAAGCAGAAGCAGGGACCAGGGTTTGATCCCCAGTGTGCCATGCCAGTGCCCTGCCTGTGCCAGCCCCACCCCCAGGGCGCACTGAGATGGCAGTTGAGACTGGGTGTGGTGGCTCACACCTGTAATCCTAGTGCTTGGGAGGCTGAAAACAGGAGGATCACTATGAGTCCAGTCTGTACTGAAACTGTAGACCCTGTAGTGAATACATAAAAACAAACAACCCCAGAGCATTGAGCTCTTTGGTGATAAAAAACGAACTTGGTAGCCAGGACTTGGGATGGTCTGAGTGAGCGCTGTCATCTCTGTTGTGTCTCAGTTGAAGGCCCACAGAGTTAGAGGCAGGTGAAGGAGTGTCAGAGTGAATTCTGGCTCATGTTGTGTAGGTTCACATGTACTGATGGTGAATGATGGTCCTCTACCACTTTCCTCTGGAATTGCTGCAGAAATGGCTTGTCTACCTCTTCTGCTAAAGATGCTCTGTCCTAGTAGTTACAGTCTTGGCTGATCTTTCAGTCCAGCTCAAGTTTCTGTTCCATGGGGTGAGCTGCTAAAGGAGCTCTTTTCTGTGATTGCAGGTACGAAGTCTGCAGCACCTCCACAGATGGCTCAGAGTGTGTCATACTTCCAGTCTACTTCAGGGAAAGAAAGTCCAGGCCAGCAGGCTCTACCTCTGGGGCGGTGCTCTACGGGCAGCCACTGTTGGTGTCCATCCCCAAGCACAAGCTGACTCTGGAGTCTTTGTACCAGGCTGTTTGTGATCGCATCAGGTTGGTTGCAGGAGCACAGTTGGGTTTTTTGATAAGATCAAGATAAGCCCAGTGGTCTGAGTACTACAGTGCAGACACTGGAGAAGGCTGAGTCAGGAGGACTGCAGGTTTGACCCAGCCCACATTACTTAGTGAGATGCTATCTCAAAATGAAAAATAGTAAAAGGGCTGGATATGTAACTTAGTGTGAAGCCCCTGGGTTTAACCCCTCATACCAAAAAAACCCACAGAAAGATAAGCCCAAGAGTAGATAAGAAGTGGTGATACCTGCAGTGTTTGCCTGGACACCAGGTGCTCAACTCTGCAAGGGATAAGCCAGACCTGGAAAGGTGCATTTCACATACTCTCCCTGATGTATGGAATCTGAAAAGAGAGCACATGAAAATATAAAGGAGACTACTGTTAGACAGAAAAAGGAAATAGGAGGGGATACAAAGGTAGGTAATTGGGGAAGTTATTAAAAGACCATGGTGTTGATGTTAGTTTATTGAGCTAAAAGGCTATCTACTACATTCTTTTTTTTTTTTTTTGGTGGAACCAGGGATTGAACTCAGGCCCTTGTGCTTGCTAGGAAAGTGCTTATTCCACTGAGCCATCTCCCTGGCCCCCTATCTACTACATTAAGCAGGTTACAAAACAGTATATTTGGGATTGCCAGTTTTTGTTTTTGGGTTTTTTTAAATGCATTTATGTGCAGTGATATCAAGAAATCTGTGCCAAGTGTGGTAGTGCACAACTGTAATCACAGCGCTTGGGGAGGCCGAGGCAGAAAGATTGCTGTTAGTGTAAGGCCAGCCTGGACTGCATAGAAAAACCCTGTTTAAAAAAATAACAAAAAAGAAAGGGCCAGGAATATGGTTGAGCGGCACAATGCCTGCCTGGCAAGCATAGGCTGTGAGTTCGATTCCCAGTATAAAAATTTGAAAGAAAGATTGACTAAGCTGGGAGTGGTGGTGTGTGTGTGTAAATTAGAGCACCATTCTGGGAGGCTGAAGCCCCTGTCTCACCCAAAATTAAAAAACAGCTCTATTTATCTATCTTACCTATCTGTCTAGATACAGTGTTTGTTTGTTTTGGTTTTTGGTCTTTTTGAGACATGTCTCATCTGTACACAGTTCGGGTTGGCCTTGAGTTCATTTCATAGCCCAGGCCTATCTGAAACTTGAAATAGTCCTCCTGCCTTAGCCTCTGGAGTGGTGGGATTACAGGAATGTGCCCCCTTACCCAGCTTACATATATTTATTTAAAGACAGATACATAATTTATAAGAAGGGCAATGGTTGTAGTTCAGTAGCAAGTCTCTGGGTTTCCATCCCAGAACTGGAGAAAAAAATTTAGACTGGTATTCACTTAACTCTTTATGTCTCTGGGAGTAGCATCCTGAGCACATTCTTCTTTTTATGAGTATTCTGGGCCTTGCTTGGTGGTGCGCCTCTGTAATCCCAGCACTCTGGAGCCTGAGGCAAGAAGATTGCTTGAGTTTGAGCTACATAGTGAGTTCAAGAGCTGGTATTGTAGGCGTGTGCCTCCATGCCCAACTTTTGGCCTTTTTAATAAAAAAGTTTTATAATTTTGACACAGGATCTCACTGCGTTGCCTAGGTTGGGCTCAAACTTGCAAGCTTCCCTCCTTAATTTCTCAGAGTGCTTAGATTATAGGCATGCACCATTATGCCTCATTTAAAGTCTTCATTTTGAGACAGGGTCTCACTAAATTGCCCAGATTGGCTTCATACTTTTTTCTCTCTGCTTTGGACTCCTGGATCAGAGGGCATGTGTTCCCATATCAAACAGCTGAGAGCAGGTTAGAAATGGTGGTGCAGGCCAGGGATATAACTCAGTGGCACAGCATCTGCCTGACAAGTATGAGGTCCTGAATTCTTCCTGGTACCTAAAAAAAGGAATGATGGTGTAGTATGGCATTCATAGAGTATTTGAAGCAGTCTTTCTTGGGATTTTCATTGGCTTAATAGTTTAAACATCTGATCTCAGGTTCCTCTCAGTTCCTTAAAAGTATTGAATCATTACATGGGTTTTTTTTTTTTTTTTCATTACATGGTTTTAGAGAACTTTTATGTACATTGTTTTGTGAATAACTAAATATAAAAGTTATGAACTACTTCTTAGCTACATAGTGGAGAAAAATAGTAAAATGTTAAAACTAACAATCTTTCTTTCATATTTTGTAAGCCGCTATATAAAGCAACCTTTGCCTGACGAGTTTTGCAGCTCGCCCTTGGAGCCTGGGGCCTGCAATGGCTCCAGGGGCAGCTGTGAAGGTGAGTGCCGGCCATGCTGTGGGGCTGGGACTGACCACAATGCCTGAGACACCTGGGAGAGGGAGGCTGGGGGTTCTGCCTGCAGGCAGCCTCTCTGTGCTGCTGGCCCCCGACCTGCTCACATAGACTGGGTCTCACTCTAGGCACACTGACCCATGAGGAGTTGAGTGACTTGCCTAAGGTTAGGAAGCAGAGTCAGGATTTAAATGTCATGTTGTGTGGATTGCAAGTGGATGGTTGCCTGGCTTATGACTGACTCTGTCCTGACTTCTCTTGGCAAAGATGTTGTTATCTTGGCTCTTAAGTACTGCCTAGGCTGTTTAGCAAGTCTTTAGTCCTAGGGGGAACAGATCCTTGGCCATTCATTTGGAAGGTGGAGATAGGCTGTCTTGGGCTTTCCTTATGTCTTGCCAGTAAGCTACAGATGGTGCCTGACCTGAGGCAGCTGCTGCTGTGAGAGGAAAGGAATTTTCAGTCAGAAAAGCCGTAGAGTGGCCTTGCTACAGGAAACCTATAGGGTTCATTCACCTCTGTGACTGGGTGCTGACAAGTCCATCCTTGACCAAGGGGCCATGTACGATTTGTAGCGTAGTAGTCATTCTTTTGGGAATATGGGTGGCTCCATGGCTTTTTTTTTCTATAAAACCAGAAATACAGCTGGGCACAGTAGTGCAGGCCTCTAATCTAGTACGGTAGGAGGCTAAAACAGAAGGATCACAAGTTTTTTTTTTTT